GGGACCAGCGAGAGACTGACGGGCGGTTGAGACCCAGCGGGAGACTGACGGGCGGTTTGGACCAGCGGGAAACTGTTCTTTCAGACAGGTTAGTTAAATGTCAGTTACACGTACAGCTCCAGGAGGAGGCGGCAGCTGATGAGATGGAGCTGGACGAGGAGGAGGAGGAGGAGGGAGAGGAGGAGGACGTGGCAGCTGAGAAGGAGGCGCCGTCACAGACTGGACCCAAATTCAACATCCCCCAAGCTTTACGGTAACAGCGCTGGACAGATGATGCATGACGGGAGGTCACACACGAGGAGGCTCCGTAGTGAACTTGTATCGCATGTCAGGAACGAGATCATTTGCCACAAGGGGCAGAGCTGTGTGTCCTGAGAGGATGAACCTCTACGTTTACTGTTGATACATTAAGAATTAGAATTATTAAGAATAAGCTATGCTCATAAACTGCACGCAAAATGTTTGTGATACAACACACGGCCACCCAACGATGTAGTCCTCCTTCTGGGACGGTGCAGCAGAGAAGTGCTGCTACTGTTTGGGTAAGGAGGAAGAGAAACGTCCTCTGCTGCTGCTGCTTCACACAGACCCCATGAAGAGGGACCCAGCTGAGAGGAGACATCCTGTGTCTGTCCTCCTGCTTCCTCCACCCCATCAAATCCTCTGTGTGACACCTGTTTTTGTCCGTTTCTGCCTGACGTAGTTTTGAAGCACCCTTAGCCGACATGCTGACGGAGCGACGGCACGTCGTCAGGAAGCAGTATGAAGCCCTGCAACAGAAGAGAGCCCTGCAGGACACTACCTGCCATCACCGTGACAACGCCATGGACACGCCCAGCCCTCCTCAGGAGGCCCTCCCCCCCGTCCTGCTGCTGCAGAACCGCGTCCAACCCATCCTCCACCTTGACTACACCCAGAAACAGCAGCTGCAGCAGCAGATACAGCAGGTAGATGGACAACCCGCCTCAAAGCGTCCTCTGGGGACACTCAGGAATCAGGAAACATTTATTAGCCAAAATATGTCAAACATACAAGGAATTTGTCTTGGCGGTTAGTGCGCGACAGTAGACAGACAAGACAACAGTGCACAAGTAATAAAATAAAGTGGAATGAAATGCTAATGCAATGGGTTAGTAGAATAAGGCTATGGGTTAGTATAAAACAAGGGAATAAAGTTAAAAAATGTTAAATATTAAAAAGTAAAAAAGAAAAATATTAAGCATAAAGTGCACTAACAAACAAGTAACAGACAAGAGACAAAGTGATGAATTGCAGTTAAAGTGTCATGTGCAGTGTGAAGGGAGTGACTGGTGGAGTGTTATAGTCAGTCAGTGGGGGACCGGCTCTGTTGATGAGCCCGACTGCCGACGGGAAGAAACTGTTGGTGTGGCGGGAGGTCTTAGTCCTGATGGACCTCAGCCTCCTGCCAGATGGAAGGGGCACAAACAGGTTCTGTCCGGGGTGAGAGGGGTCGGCCGCCATCTTTTTAGCTCGACTCGTTCAAAATGATCCCACAGGATTAATCCTCCTGGATTGGATCCTAGAAACTGGTATTTCAAAGCAAATCTGATCCTGAAGATTCAGATTCGGGAATCTAATCCTGCCTTTTATCCGGATGAAATACTGCTGTTTAGGGCTGCATCGAATCGATGAAATCCATTATTAAAAGCAACGAATTTCATTATTGATTCGTTGTGTCGTGCAATTATTACGCCACTCAATGGGTTGGGGAGATGCGCTGACGTAGAGAAAAGAGCAGCCAGTGATCTGTGTGTGTGTGTGTGTGTGTGTGTGTGTGTGTGTGTGTGTGTGTGTGTGGAGAACAAGTTCAGACGTTAATACAAAATCCTGTTAAATTTTCTGATTTGTGTTTTATGTTTTTTAGAAATGATTCTAAGCAACCTGTACTTTCTAAAATATTTTTACAATGTGAATTTGCATTTCAGTTTTAGAATGAATGGTTGAAAATTAAAGTTTCTTTTAATTTTTTTCTTCAAATCCAATTAATCGAAAAAATGATCGATTATCAAAAAAAAAAAAAGTAAAAAATGTGGACCAGCAACACTGAGCAACATTATACCTGCATTCAGAGACAATCGTTGTGTCGGCTTCTCCTTTTTTCTGTAAAATGTTCGCTGTGATCCGGGGGGGCGGATTTGGACGTCCCTATCTGGCGGTTTTAGGGTCCAAATCAAGTTTTGAAATAGCGGGATAGATCAGGTAGATCCGTGGCTGAGGGGGGGGGGGGATTGGTTATTTGGATTACAAGTTTTGAAATGGGGCCCCCTGGTGTCCAATACGTCCCCCAGTGTCCCCACGCTGAGTTCTGTGGTGTGTTTCTCGCAGCATGTGCAGCTGCTGACTCAGGTTCACCTGTTGTGTCGCCATGTGGACGCATTGCAGCACGAAGCCAGCATCACTCAACACTATCTGGTTAGTAAGCCCCAACTCCACCCGTTTGGTAAACGTTAACTCCACCCAGTCGGTCACCCCTCCTTCCCCCCCCCAGGAGGAGCTGCAGCAGTTCGCCCGCCGTCGGGAGCAGGTTTTCCTCCCGAGCAGTTTCAGAGTGTGTAACCTGAAGGAGGCTCTGGATCTCATTTCTGAGGTGGAGCAGAGAGCGCAGCCTCCTCGTGCTCCACCCACTCCTGCTGCCTCCAGACGCTGGCTCCCCAGGATGACTCCTGCTACCAACAGTAAGCAGGGAACGTCCCCTCGGGTAGGCAATGTTTGGTGCTGGTTCTAGTTCTGGTTCTGGTTCCGTCTAGGTCTGGCCTTCCCTCTGCTGCCAGCCGACACCGCCTGGCTTCTCGCCACGCGTCCTGTCTTTTTGTACCCGGAGCTACTTCCTGTCTGCAGCCTGGACCCCGCCATCCACCCCCGACACCCCCGCAGTGTTTACACTGCAGGAGAGGAGGGGTACATGCACACTGCAACACACAGTACACACATGCACGCACACTGTGCATCATACGCTAACCATCTTGTTTCCCACAATGCACTTGTGCAGTCTGATCGTTTTAGGTCTGAAGCACTTCGAAGGTACGATCCAGATGGACCAGCTGATCAGCTCCTACCTGCTGTGCAAGTCACGGTGGAACTTCAGGAAGCACATCAGAGAGATGAGCGGGCCGAGGGCGCCGCACGGCAACCTCATCAAGGTGACGTCAGCGCGACGTTCACGCGCTCACAGAGGCCGCGCTCACAGAGGCCGCGCTCACAGAGGCCGCGCTCACAGAGGCCGCGCTCACAGAGGTGGAGCTAACGTCTTCTCTTCTTTTCAGACGTTCCTGACGTCCAGAGTCGCCCCCCAGCTGCCGCTTGCCTGCAGCAGAGTTCAGCCGAGAGACCGCTGCCCCCCGGTGGACAGAACCACCATCAACATGCCCAACTGGCTCAAGGTCAGATGCATTAACATCTAGGGAACGTTTTAAAGCTGCATTCTGTGTAGTGACCAGCAGGGGGCGACTCCTCTGCTCCCATAGACGTCTATTCTTCTCTCTTGATTTATTCCCTCAGTAGAGACGTATATAACGTCTCCATGTCCTCCTTAGTCCCTATATGGCCACTTCCTGTCCAATGGTTGATGAATAACTCAAACGCTGTGCGTGTGACCGACCCTCGCGCCCCCAAAAAGCCTTTTAATGGACGATGACTTCATGGAGTATCATCACCATGAACTTCACTGTGGTTCTCTGCTTCTCTCCTACAGAACAGTCAGCTGATCATCCAGAAGACGCGGGCGACTCCTTCTCCCTGTTATCTCCCCTCTCTCCCAGAGCTGCACCCTGAGGCTCCACCCCCACTGGCTCAAGA